GTTTGCCTACCTTCAGTTTTCCTAAATACAAGTATTCCATGTATGTTACAGTTCACAACAACAGTTAACCTTTGGTTAAAGAGGTATTTCATGTGAAGAAAGGTTATAACTTCCCAGGCACTGGTGATAAACTTTCTCCAGATAAATAATTTTCAACCTAATCTCTTGTACTCCAGAGCTGCAGAAGCTCTTATTCCAATGACATTTTTTTTTGAAAGGGTGGGGGACCAAGTTTAATAGCACTTCACGCAAATCCAACCCAAAGGTTATGGGTGAAGGGATATTGAACCAGGGGCGTAGGGTACATGGATGTGGTGGAAGCATTGCTTCCCTATAGAAAAGCAACCAAGAACATTTCTGGCAATTTTTCAATTTCGAAAAAATATTTCATACTTTAAAATATTAATTAATCTGAAAACATATATTACATATAATGAGAATATTGCAAGTTTTAATGTGTTACATAAACAATTTATTAGGATAGATCAGTTATTTTCTTCCAAAATGCAGGGAACTTTAAACTGCAACACGCGCGGAAGCAGCAGGTCTTTCGCTTCCACCCTCCCCTGGGTTAACTGGCTGACTCAATGTCAATGTTGTCTGTAAGTGAGCTATCCGTTATGGTATGCTACTAGCTTCGTGCTTCCAGCAATGTTGCCAGATGTAAGGCATTGCAGTTTGCAGTAGAATAGTCTGTGACCTTGCAGTTAAGCGTGTTTATTAGTTTTCAGAAGGTGTTAGCGTGTCATTTATGCACAAGTCAGTTTAGTTATTATTCTGTATTTTTCTCTATACAGAATTTGTTTTGTTTTGCGTAATTATAACTTTATGACAGTGTTTTTGTGATTGCTGTTAAGTTAAAATTAGAAACATGACACTTTCATGTGATAACCACTGTGTGATTGAAAAACTTCTTCAAACACCGTTCAGTTCACTCAGTTATAATGAGAAACCAAGATAATAGAAGAAGGTGCACCTAAGCCTAATCTAATTTTACATACAAAAGTGAAATCTTGCACACGGCATTTCAATACCAGTTTATATGAGGCTATTCCATGGTTGTGTGGGTGTGATAAACTAAACAAATTATTCTGTTGGCCTTGTCTCTTGTTTTCTAAAGAAAAACACGTGTTTAACAGTGCTGGTTACAATGACATTAACAACATTTACAAATCTGGCAAAAGACATGGGCATTCAGTTAATCACATTGCTTGTCTTAAAGAAATTACACTGTTTGGTAAAAACAGAAGGATTGAATTTTCTCTAAGCAGCCAATACAAACAGTCAATTGAAAAACACAATGAAGCTGTGAAACAGAACAGGAAATTTGTAGGCCAATTAATTACAGCAGTTTGTTTTCTGGGCTCTCAGGGTTTAGCATTTCGGGGACATGATGAAAGCGTGGCATCTGTTAATAGAGGAAATTACATTGAGGTTTTAAATATGCTGGCACGTTATGATTCTGATTTACACAATCATTTAGAGTCTTCAACTGCTTTCCGTGGTTCTTCTCCTGACATCCAAAATGAACTGATACATTCTGTATCTGAATTGATGACAATGGAAATTAAAAAGGAAATTTCAAAGGCTAATTATGTTTCTTTAATTCTTGATGAGACTTCAGATGTGATGAATAAGTGTCAGTTGGCTTCAGTTCTTCGATATGTGACAGCTGATGGCAATGTTGAAGAAAGGTTTCTGCGTTTTACAGACGTGAGCTCTGACCGTTCTGCCAATTCCTTGTTTAACCATGCTCTTGAGATTTTAAATGATTTTGAATGTGGTCCCAAACTCATTGCACAGACTTATGATGGTGCTGCTGTTATGGCATCACAACATGCAGGAGTACAAGCAAAAATTCGCGAGCAGTACCCAAACGCCATTTTTGTTCATTGTTATGCGCATAGACTAAATTTAGTCTTAGCACAATCTGCTAGTTTTATTAAGGAAGTTAAGGTCTTCTTTGCTACTCTCTCTGGCTTTAGAACTTTTTTTGCCAAGTCCACAAAAAGGACTGAAGCATTGGATTCCCACCTTAGGAAAAGATTTCCTTCTATCGCACCTACTCGATGGCAGTACCATAGCCGACTTGCTGAAACTGTGCATGAATACAGAGAAGGAATTGAGAATCTTCTTGTGTCTATAATAGAGGAACCAGAAGAATGGGATGTAGAAACAATTTCTTCTGCACGCGGACTTCTCTCTCTTCTAAGGGATTTCGATTTCAATTTCATGCTGAAAATATTTTCTTCAATTTTTCCATATTCTGGCGCTCTTTTCAAAATCCTACAAACTAAGAGATCTGATATAGCTTTTTGCAATACCAAAATAGACGAATTTAAGCATCACATGCAAAGATTAAGGGGAGGATTTGACCACCTTTGGAGTGAAATGGAAAATGTCTTCGATTCAAATGGCCCAACTCGACCCAAAAGAATTCGCATTGACTCAATGAGTGGAGAAGAAAGAAAAAACTCCTATAAACGGCTGTTCTGTGAAATTATTGATGTCGTGTGTCAGAATGTCTCTGTTAGATTTTCGGAGAACGCTACGCTCCTCTTCTTGAGTCTTCTTGATGCCAGATACTTCCCCATGTATAGAACCTCATTTCCTGAAAAAGCATTTTCCTGTTTAAAAGAAAATTATGGTGCATTTTTTGACTTTGTTGCCTTAAAGAGTGAACTTTTAGTAATGTTTTCGGACCCAGATATGGCAAAAGATAGTGTGTATGACTTACATCAATATATGTATGCTCTTCAGTTATCATGCGTTTTCCCGCAAATCTTCAAATTATGTGAGCTAGTATTAACAATACCAGCGACAAGTGCTGCAGATGAACGCTCATTTTCAGCTCTGAAGAGATTAAAAAACTACTTAAGAAATTCGCAGAACCAGGATAGGTTGTCATCACTGGCTTTGATGAACATTGAAAAGTCCTTCCTAAACAAACTGCAGTCCAAACCCAGCTTTCTAGATGAGGTTATTGATCTGTTTGCCAAGAAAAACAGAAGAATCGAGCTGAATTATAAACAATAAAGTAAGCATTAATTATATTCCAGGTTCACAACCCTGTCATTTGATGGCTATAAAATTGTGTTGATAATTATGTGCTATTTTGATATATTAGCTTAAATATACAATACATATTAAACTATTAGCTGCTTTCTTTGAAATAGAAGATAGAAACTATAGGGTATGTAGAAAAAATTTATATACACATATATAAAGTTGCTTCCCTGCTTTCGGTAGTCATGCTACGCCACTGTATTGAACTTACTTATGGAGCTAAGCCCTTCTTGAGAACCCATCAATTGTGCAGCCACTCAAGAATTTTCCAGCCTTTTATGGAACCCGAAGGTTTATTACTGTGTTCATAAGAGCCCTCCACTGGTCCCTATCCTGAGCCCGATCAATCCAATGCATACTATACCTTCCTATCTCTCTGGGATACATTTTATGATTGTCAACCCACCTACACCTTGATCTTCCCAGTGGTCTCTTTCCTTCTGGCTTTCCCACCAATATCCTATTTGCATTCTTCCCCTCCCACATTCGTGCTACATGCCCTGGCAAACTCATCCTCCTTGACTTGTGATACTGAACACAGTTCAAAAATAGGAATAGGTTTGGTGGGGAAACCTTTGCAGTACAAGAGATCTGGTTGTAAAAGTATTTATTGCCATTCTAGCGAACAAGGCATTGAGGGGGGGGTGGACACTCACAATAGTTGCTAAGTTAGCACACCTTCTTACCGATTTTACTTTCAGCCCTGTCGGCCATTTTAAATTTAGTTAATGTAGGATGAGTAGAGATAGCAGCAACAATGTTCCGTGGTGTCATCGCGGCCATGTTGTCCACCAATAACATGGGAATTTCACAGGGATGCTCGGGATACTGTTAATTTGAAGTTATAATGTGAGAGCTGATTCGGAAGGGTGACAGGCAAAGCAACAATCATTGAAGGCAGTGACGGCCAGAGGTTGTCCAACTACAATTATCAGTGCCAGATCTTACGGCCCAATAGTAAAAGAAAGGCATAGACGAACTTCACAGTTACTGGCAGAAAACGAAAGAGACAGAGGAGAAAGCTTCTAGAAACTTCTAGAGGTACGGTTCGTCTCCGAGGTTTCGTGACGTAAAAATGCACCATTGTGCATTTGTGTCAATAAACCGTACGAGAGCAGGCCACTCCGAAGTAGATTTACCATTGTGTTCACGGCTAAATGCGAATGTGGTGACGGGTTGTAAACGGAGGAACATATCTTCTGGGATTATGACCAAAGGTCAAGACTGATGGACATTTTGTCTGAGAACAACACAAATGAATTCCGAAAGTCACTTACAGAGCTCCTAAGGCTAGGGGAAAAAAGATTTGTGTAAGGCATCTGTTACTCCATAAACGAAATCCCTAAATTTAGTAGAAAAAAGAAAGAAAAAGAAGTAACTGTACAAAATATTAAGAGAGAGATTAAAGAATTGTGGGGCTACCGCTACGACAGACTAAGATGTTTATAAGATTGTGCTATCTACAGAGGGCTGGATGAACATTACATAGGCATTTTTCTATATACATTTATTTTTTAAAAGAAAAAATAGAACCAACGCACTTCAGCCGAACATGAATAACAGCTACACACGACACAATAGGTGGTACTACTGATCACCATAGGACACATGGGCGCACACACGAAGGAGTATCCTACAAATTAAACATACGAAAGGAAGCACAATACTTTCAGCAGCAGTCTTAGTCACCTGAAGATGACCAATGTTGGTCGAAACATGTAGTGTGCACGCACCAGTAATATAGAAGAGATTAAAACGTTTGAAACTTTTAAAGGTTTTAAAAACCTAATAAAGAACGGGAATAAACACACACATTGTCTGTGTGTTTACTAGAAAATGATTCATAGGTGACAGCACAATGTGTCTGGCGCTACGTTGTCCACTACTAGCGTTACAGTTACGCATCTAAAGGTGTGTAAATCTGTGACTGTGATCACTGGGCAGAGCAGTTGCATAAAACGTCGACAAGGAAGGAAATAGAATATGGCGAAGTTTGGATGTAGAAGTGTTAACCCAACACCTTATTATCTGGTGTCGCATTGTATTGGTAGTTTTGGAAAGTTTGACTCTTTAAAGTTACATATTTGGTAGTTATTATAATCTGAAGTAATTAAATCTAATTTATTTCTTTTCTTGCGGCTTTGGAAGTTTGATTTTGTTTTTCTGCGTAAGATAGTATTGCTATCTAGTGTTAAATTATCACATCTGCCAGCGACCACATTTTTGTTCACGTGAACTCGTGAACATGGATGAAGAATGGGGTAAGTTTTGGCCGTCGATATGTTTTTGTAGGATAATGTAGTTAGACATTGCAGCTGTTAGGTTAATTGTTTAAATTATCATTTACAGATGCTGATACCTTCGAACCGCAAGAAATTAAAACGGCGCTGTCTGTGGGTGCCAATAAGTGGGAAGGAGAGGACGAAGATGAAGACGTAAAAGTGCGTGGCAGTAAAACGTTTTTTTCTCAACTGTGCTGTATGTACCATTCTATACTAAAGGTGGTCATGTCAGTGCGTATGTGGAAGCCCACGATTTGGAAAGTTGTACTTTGCCCCGCGTATTGTACTGATTATAGCCGAACAGCTGTCACAGTCAGATTAAAAATTGGAGGCATGCCTTCGTCTCTTATGACGCTTTCAAGCATGATTTCTAGTATAAATGTTGTATTTTGCATTGCATTATTGTATATGTTATGCTCTCGAGGATTTGGTAGGTACTAGAAAAGTAGGTCATAGGAGTTTGATGTAAGCTGAATTCTTTAATGCAGGACAATTGGGAAGATGAAGAGGAGGAAGAGAAGAAGGATGTAGAGAAACAAGAAACCGCAAAACTTGTCCAAGCAAGAAAAACCAAGAAAAGTCTAGCAGAAAAAATAGAAGAGAAAGAAGTAAGTTGAATCTAAAATTAGACTTAGTATACTGAGCAGACATTTTTGAATATCTTTCAGTCATTGTGGCAGGTACATTATGCACTTGTTCACAAAAATGGAATTCTACAGTGCTTCCAACAGTGGTGCATTCATTAGACTCCCTACATTTTGTTAAAAGGAACAGGATGGAATAGAGTGTAAATGCAGTTATCTAACTAACTCCGTGGCTTTGGTCCGCAAACGAACTATACCGACTGAGCGACCGCTGCTTGTCGGCGAAGTTAGTGCCAGATTTAGTGGATAGAGGGTGTCGTGTGGTCAGCACAACAAATCCCCATGGTTGTTAATTTCGGACTTCTAGACCAGAGCTGCTATTTCGTAGAAATAGCTCCTCAGTTATCCTCACAAGGCTGAGTGGACCCCATTCCAGACTCAGAAAATCTGGTAGCGCTGGGAATAGAACCCGGTCCTCTGGATCTGGAACCAGGAACTCTGACCACTCGACCACAGATGTAGTTATCACAGGGAAAGAAATACAGCTCAGAAATGATATGATCACACCACAATACACAGTTCTGAATTCAGTAATTGTTGATATTGTGCTAATACTAAAGAATGATGACAAACGTAACTTGTGGGTTTACGAATCAAGACTGAACAGGATGCATGTGACTTTTGATGTATGTGTACATTTGTCCCACTTTAAAGCTGTTGAACTACTGAAGTCTATGCTGAGGACTGTTGAATTTCCAAATTGTACTTGCACAGTTGATAAGTTTGCATTATATATTTTTCAAGTCTTTCACAAAATTTGATGAACACACATTGTTCTGTACTTTAAGGCATCATTGTATTGACACATGATTAAACACTGATACTGTAAACACTGATCACAAATGACTGAAACAGTGGTACAGTTTGTAAACATTTCTTTGTATTCAGAAATGTGTCAGGGCATGCATGTCAAAGCTGCATCTTTGTGATGTAATCTGTCTGCGGTATTGAGTCTTAATAATTTTCCATCAGATATCATATCATAATAGTTGAGTGTTTAGTGAAGCAAAATACTCTCATGAATAGAGTAAAAGTAAGTGAAGTAAAGGTATCCCTGTAACAGGCCGTGAAGGCCCATAGGGTTGTGAGATGTTGACATTCCCACATTATCTAGACAGTCAGTTCACAGATGGCGGTAAGGTCAGCCTTACGCACCAGCCGCCCTTTACCCCCAGGAAGATTCCTGGTACTCATTTCTGTTAGAGGCTGAGTGAACCCCAGGGCCATAGTGCGGCTGGAAGAATTAGGTATATTGAAAAAATCCACCCTATTGGGACTCGATCCTGTGACCTTCCAGCTTGTAGCATAGTGCCTCAACCAACTACGTTACCATGTGCCCCCTCATGAATAGGGTGCAGAATGTTAATGTGAATGCATCTGGCAAGTCTGCTTACACCTTGTAGTCCTCTTTGGTTACTGAAGGAGTGAAATCATCTTAGAGTGAAGAAAGTAAACAGTGCTGTGGCTTTTGGCCACGTGCTTGTTCTCATTTGTCCCCATCTAGAGATTGTTGCTTTCAGTCCTTATGTGAAGGAATATATTTTATTCATTCTGGTTCTCATTGTCAGAAATTGGTAATTTTTATTGGTTTTGCTAGTGTCTCCAAGTAAATTTTGAGATAGCTCACTAATCCAGTGACTGTGTTCACCACTGAATTGTAACTGCTGCAATGTGTGATGTACACAGTCATCATCTTGCAGTTTCTGTGTGTGTTTTAATGGGTGTTTGATGTGCTCATTATAACGTGTACCTGTCACTTCTGAGGAATATCTGGAGCAGCCATACTTTGAAAGTGATGTTCTCCTCATATTCTTTATGAATCTAATGTTTAGGAGGAAATTCTTCACAATCATTGAATTTCGTTACTTACTTCAAAGGTAGAATGTTGTGTATGTATTTTCCTGTACTCATCATTTGATACTGTAGTAGAACAATAAGACAATAACTGATAAGTTAACCTTTAACGGCTGAATGTTATATATATAT